GAAGAATGTGTGAGAGAGAGCGGGGGGGGGGGGATGTATGGGCTCCGTCAGTCGTAGAGCGGAGGGGTGTCGGGGGGTTGGGAAGGGCTGAGAACGCGGTCCGGGCACCAACGGGGAGAGAGAGAAGACGAGACACCTTGGGGTAGGGTCGCGGAAGGACAGCCGCCGGGCCGGGGGACCGGGGTGATAGAAGACATGCTGTAGCTCGGCCCGGCCCGGCGCTCCCAGGGGCTCACTTTGCTTGATCGCCGGTCGGACGAACCCTGACTCGGCCTGTCCCCAATGCGAGTAATGAAGTCCCGAGCTCGCGGCCTGAGGCCCTGAGACGATCGCCAAGGGTAGCCAAAGCCACATTTTTTTGGCTCGCCAACTTTGTGAATTTTGCAAACAAAATTCTGTTTTGGTGCGATGGTTGTCACAGCTTATGATTTATGTAACCCCAGAAAAAAAAGAAAGCTGTAGTGTAGATGAATAGGTAGTAGTTACACTGTAAAAACCTTACGATGCAAAAGGTACGAAGCATTTGCTTCGTAACTACGAAGGGTTTGCTTCGTACCTAAGAAGGATTTGGCATTTTGCTTCGTAAGGTTTTACCATTCAGGTCAGGTGTGGTACTTCAGGAGTGTCCTGTCTATCCAGACAGTCATGCAGTGATGGCTGATTCGACATTAATATGGCTGTTAGAATTAGAGATCATCCAGAAAATAGGTCTATCATTCGCCGTGGTGAATCTGCCAGATTCAGCCAATGCTAAGGTTTCATAGCGCCTGATAGGTAGGCAAAATATTGCACACAGTGCGTGCCACTGCGGGGAGGCCTACCCGAAGTTTGGCAGGCGCCGGGCTACCGTAATTTGCTGAATGAATTCCAGAGAAGTGGACGTACTTTCTGGACATTCACTTAAAATATGATTCTGGTATGAGTGTTAGTTCTGCAACCATATTCTGGTTCTGGTTGTCCCTGCCGTGAGGTGTCAGAACTTTCCGTCCACCGTGTGGAGGTGCACTCGGAGTTTACTCACTCTCTGCCGGTGACAAGGCCACTGTCACTTCAGCTTCAGCCGGCACCGCGCGCACCCATTTTACTTCCTCTCTCTGACTGTCTGTCTCTCTCCCTCTCTCTGCACTCGCACCGCGACGCTGTGTGCCGCTCTCCATTACCCACAGTGCAGTGCTGCCCGAGTGGCCTTGGCTCAGGGGTGTCAGCGCCGGCCGCGGGCGCCACTACTGGCTCCAGCAGTGGGGCATGACGTGCGGCCGCGCGGGGGCGCCCCCCGGGAGCGCGGGACCCGCCACGCTAAGACCCGCTAAGACCCGCTACGCCCCACCACGCCCCGCCACGCCCCGCCAAGCCCCGCCTCGCCCGGAAGGACGCGACAAAACGGTATCAGTAAGCCAGTCGTGCGTTTGCGGGGCGTCCGCAAATTCTACCAAACGGCCTCAACGGGGGCGCGGCGCGGGGGGACTGGCGCGCTCGCAGTGGCCGCGCTCTCGCGCCCCTCTCTTTTATTCACTCGGCACTCCCTCGTTGTCGGTTTTGGTTGTCGCCGTTTACTTTTCGGCGTTTATCATGGAATATCTCATGAAATATGGAGGAGACTCGCAAGGAAGTTGTAAGCAAAGAGATAGAGAGGGGGACGGGGGAATCTTTTGTCGTCTGCTTTAGCCGAACGTCCTCCCTCTCCTCCAGCGCCGTATGTTGTCGCGACGCGGACACTTAACGAGATGAGTGCTCTGTCAACACGAACATGTACGCATCGGTTGGTTAGTGCATGCGCGTGCCACGTTTTACTTGAAATCGTGCTATGTGCACTGACGGTAATATGTTTACTTTTATAAGTACATGATGGCGTGTGCATCGAAGTATTTATGGCACGTACGCGCAGAAGAAAAAATGCATACATTAGTACACTTTTTTAAATTGACAGAGTGGATAAACGTTACTAGACGGCCAGTTTATTTTCGCCCGTTGCCCGCGAGGTGTCATTCAATACATAATCGTTTCTCGCGATACTATTATGTTTCGGATTACCGTAACTTGGTGGCCGGCTGGCGGGAGGGAAAACGCGAGCCAGCTTTGCTTTGTCGTTGATGGAATGCTGTGGTTGCCGCTGTGCCACCCTGGGCGGTCGGGTCGAGGGGTGAGGGGCGGTAATTTAAGCCCGACAACGGCACCATAACACAATAACAAAAGGTCAGGAGGGGAGAGCCAGGGGGCCGCGGGACCCCTGCCGCGGGCCAAACAAAACGGAATTAAGAGGATTATAGAAGAGGTTTTCAAGCCTTCCGTGAAAACTGGCAAATTAGGGTCTCGTAATTGCATCGCTAATCCGACCCGTGCTCACTATGAGACATGGACTCCGTATTCACATTTTTTTACCGTCCAAGTTATACATACACGCACGTCCCTGCATGAAAGGGTATAGTGGTCGATAAATTTTTATTTCGCTTATAACATATTTTTTGGGCGTGTTCTGTTTGTTTGTTGTCTTTTCCCCCCATGTCAAATCTCGCGCCAGTCAAGCAGCAGCATCAGCAAAGTCTCCTGTTGTATGCGCCCCCCAACATTTTGACAGCTGGCCGCGCGCAGCAGTGAGCAGAGCAAAAGTTGGCCGGTGCGTCGCGCAGATGCCTGTCTGCTGATTGTAAGCGCGGCTGAGCCCTGCGCAAACACCGTGCAGCTGGTTTGTGTCGCGTGCAATATCCGTAAAGGGGGGGGGGGGGCAGCGCCGATCTAATGAATCGGCCGAAACGAGTCGGCGCGGAAGATAACATTGACAGGAGGACTCGAACGCTCTCAATAACCCTCATTTCGTTTGCTTTGGTTGTCAGGCTCCCCCCCCCCCTCTCTTTCTCTCTCTCTCCTCCCTCCCTCTCACCGCATCTCTTAAAATGTTTCCTATGTTGTCGCGTTTGCAGCCTGACAGCCCATATTAAGTCAAGCGGCCTTTCGAGAGAGAGAGAGAGAGGGGGGGGGGACATTTTGTGATTGTCTGTATTGGAAATCATTCTAACCGCCTCGACAATAAGGCCAGATTGGCGAAGCGCACCCACGCCCACCACCCACACGGATAAATCCCTGCGAACAAGAATGTAATCATATCGCGAAGGATTTGGTCTCTTTGAGTAAGCCTACCTGAGAAATTTCCTCGCGTTACAAAAGAAAATAGTTTTCAATTGGTTCGCAATTACAAAGCAGCCGCGAGTGTTCGCAAGGGGTTAACAGTGCAGCTGGTGCAGCGACGCAATCATGCCTTCCAGTCCAGTTGCATACGAGATATGCATGACCTACTGAACCAAATATATAATCCTTATGATGGATGGAACGTCTCTCTCCCTCTCTCCCTCTATCTCTCTCCCTCTCTATCCCTCTTTATCCCTCCCTCTCTCTCTCTCTCTCTCCCTCTCTCTCTCTCTCTCTCCCTCCCTCCCGAGTTGTCCGCGCTACAGACAGATGACCCGAGGTCACACGGCTGCAGCGCCCGGACCCGAGTTGGGCGCGACACGCTGCCGCAGCCCAGGCCGCCCGAGTCGTAACGCAAGGATTTACGCTGCCATCTCATCCAGCAGAGGCTCGGGCGAGCTTGTCCGAATGGGCCGTGAGGGGCGAGCCGTAAGTCTGGACACGCCCTCGGACTTGGACAGCAGCTGCAACCCCCCCC